TTTAACAGTAATACTATAACAATACGGTCCTTTTTTGTTATTTTAAATCTGTTTTATCCAAGAAAGATAGTGAATGCTGAGTACTTCACATCACTCCAATGCCTAGAGAAAATATTAAGTATTCAATTGGAGAAATTTTTAATCTTTCCTAAAAATGCATTTTTTATCTCCTCTATTTTTCCATTTGTGAAACAGCTGACACATTTTGTATATGACTTAATTAATATTCCAAAATTCCAAGGTATTTGCCTGAATTCTCTTAAGTTGACAAAGTTTCTCTCATTAACTGTCAGTGGTATTAGGAGGACAGCTTCCACTTTCTGCAGGGCTGACTCTGTGCTCTCCTAAGGGTACTCTTAGCTCTGCAATAGTGAGAATACATGAGCAGTGGCTGAGCATGTGCCTCCATGTAAATGTAGCCTCCTCATGTGAATTGGCAGCCTGGCTCTCATAGAATAGGGGAAGATGATGCATCAGGAAGTTAGGAAACACTCAGCAGCCTCACCCTTGGGCATTGGTAGCTTACCGGGTCAATAAGTCATTTCACAGATATTTCTGGATAGCACAGTTTTCTGGGCTTAGTGCTAGCTCCAACTTAATGAGGCAGGCAATGTACTTCTAGCCCCTGCCCTCATGGGAAGCACTGTCATGCTGCAGAGCTGAGTTACAAACAAATCAAAACATAAACACTTATCAAATTAGAGTTGTGAGGTGATTTATGAAGAGAGTAGCATGAAAGTTAGAGAGAGACTAACAAAAGGAAACTGTTCGGGAAAGGATCAAGCACCTGAACTGAATGTCAGAGAATCAAAAAGAGAGGGGCAGCACTTGGAAGTTGCTCAGCATACTCAGCAGAGGCAAGCCAGATGGTGTAGGTTGTATTCTCAGCTCTACCACTTGCTAACTGTGGACTTTTCCATCTTTTGTGCCATAGTTTCCTCATTTGTAAAATAGGAATAATACTAATATGTTTATTACAGGGTGCTTGAAAAAATTAAACAAGTTCATGCAGGAAAAAAAACATTTTAGAGTATCACAGGTCTCAGGATGTTATCTTAACCCCCTCTCCATGCACATGCATGTTCACATGATGCATACACCCTGAAAGTACAGTATGCTTGGAGTGAAGTCAGGGTTGAGAAGAGTAGAAGATGAGATGGGAAAGAAGAACACAACCACATTATAAAGAGTTTTGGAGACTGAATTTAATTTAGTGAAAGGAGAGTTTAAGAAGGAATTCAGCAAAGGTGATGTATGATTTTTCTTATATTTTATCAAAATGAGAGAATGGTTCAGAGGAAGCTGACAAAAATTGAGAGTAATTTTGGGGTTATTTTAAGAATATAGAAGGTGATGATGAGGTCTTGAATGCATACCTGCACTCTGATATGAAGGATACCAAACCTCAAACTCAAACAGAATTTCTTCATATTGTATTCTTCATATTGTCTTTACACCATGCTTCAAATCTTTACCACTGCAGTAATTACTTTGGATTAATGATGGAATGAGGGAAAGAAATGTGACTATTCATTTTCAGGTATGAGTTTGTGTAATTATCATGATGACTTTGTAGGGTAGGTTTCTCTTAGCCCTATTGTACAGATAGGAACACTAAAGCCTAGCGGTGTAAAAAAATGTTCACTCGAGTTCATCTGCCAGTAAGTAGCAAAACTAGAATTGAAAACCAGGTCAGTTAGACTTCAAAAAATTTTCTTTTGTTCCTGTTCTATCAATTGGTTAAGTTTTCTTAAGATCTCATAATATAGAGATGTGTTTCCTTAGAGATAATCTATGTCATCAAAACTCGTATCATTAATTAAGTCACTTGATTAGCTAGACATTTGATGTGATGAAAGTAGATCATAAACACTTTGATGAATTGGGAGAGAGGGAAGATAGTCCATTAGAGTGGAAAATGAAAGATCCTGGGCACTGTAGACTGAGATACACAGCACAAGGTGTGTCTTTTAAGCAGTGACAATTTCCATGTTTATTCTTGGAAGCATTTGTCTCACTTCTAAAGGAACTGTTTGAAATTTATATTTCTATAGCATTGAGTACATCTCTCTATTTTAACTCATAATATGGTATATTAGCATCACCGTCCACAATTGCACATGTCGTATCCATTCGCTCTGCACTATAGCTCCTAAGGACCCTGGTCCTGATTCAGAGTCTGGTGCAATAGAAGAAGAGAAGCAATCAGAAGAGAGCATGCATACACAATGTACACACCATGCACACATGAAGAATTTCACCCAGAGTTCAAGAAGCTGAAATGTGGAGGAATGGAAAACTTGGGTTCAACTTGACATTTCTTGGGTAGTAAGCCATTGAATACAAAAAAGAAATGGTATAATTGTGGGTGAGAAGGTGCAGTGTCTGTCATTACCATGGACTGGATAGGAACGCAAGGCCCTCCAGTTATCCCCATCACTATTAATACTCCTACTATTATTGATTTCACATAAATAATGTCTAGACATGATGGCATCGATTTGTATATATTATCACTTTATATGTATTGGCATTTTTAATTTTCTCAGTAGTCTTCTCAGAAGGATATGGATTACTCCATTTTATAAAATCAAGTCTTAGAGAGATAGAGTTGCCTGAGGTGACCCAAGCTATGGCTACTGTAGTTTAAAATCTATAATTTTGCCTACACTATGACCTTCATTGTTTCATGATTGATGGTAGCTTGCTACTCATAGCCTCCATCTGGTTTGGGTAGAATTAGTTTCCGTAGAAAGATATAGGGCACTGATGGGGTAGTATGGGAAGGGTCTGAGAGTGGTGGGGGTTTGTGAAAATCTACATCTGGAATATTTATTTTAGGGTCTAGGGAATAATTAGCAAACTTTGGTTAGAACCAATTTACTCAATAGGAATAAATTGTGAAATTGTATTTTAAAACTAATTACAGTAAAAGTATAACTTTATTTTTATTTCCATTTCAGATTTGTTTTATAAAGAATATTTCTAGGTTTTTGGTCAAAAAATCTGAATGAATCATTGTGTATGCTCAAGCTGAGAATTTTAATTGCTTGATGAATAATGAAAACTTGAGTTTTTCTGAGTACTTAATTTCAAATAAGACTAAGCCCGCCCCCTTCAAACACTCATTCACCACCATCCCACCCACATAAGATGAAATATAATGAATCTGTTTCAAGTTATAATTAAATAGGCTTATTTTTCTATTATAAAAGTAATAAAAGTTCATTGTGAAGTTTTTATAATTAAACACATTTTTTAAAAAAATGAAAATAACTTATAATAACACTGTCCAAAGAGAGACCCTAGTAAATTATTTTAAAGACTTAATTTTTTAAAGCAATTTTAGTTTCACATCAAAATTTGTAGAAGTTTTTCATATAACCCTGACCACAGACACACATAGCCTCACCTATTATCAGCATTACCAACTGAAATGGTGCATTTATTGCAGTTGATTAACCTACATTGATACATCATAATCATTCAAAGTTCATTGTTTACATTACCCATCACTTTTAGTGTTGTACATTTTATGGGTTTGGACAAATATAACAAAATGTATTCATCATTATGATATAAGGCAGATTATTTTTACTGGCCTAAAAATCCTCTATGCTTTGCTTGTTCATCCCTCCCTCTCACCCCCTACCAATCACTGATCTTTTTACTGTCCTCATAGTTTAACTTTTTCAGAATGTCATATGCATGTAGACTTTACAGATTGGCCACTTCCACTTAGTAATATTCATTGAAGCTTCCTCCATGTCTTTTAATAGCTCGGTAGCTCATTTCTTTTTGAACTGAATAGTGTTTCATTATCTGGCCATACCACAGTTCACTCACCTATAGAAAGGCATCTTGATTGCTTTCAAATTTTGGAAATTATAAATATAGCTGCTTTAAACATTTATGTGCAGGTTTTTGTGTGAACATAAAAGTTTAAATCCTTTGAGTAAATACCTAGGAGTATGATTGCTGGATAATATGGAAGGGTATGTTTAGCTTTGTAGAAACTGTCAAATTGTCTTTCAAAGTAACTGTACCATTTTCTATTCTCACTATCAGTGAATGAGAATTCTTGTTTCTCCACATCCTCACCAAAATTTGGTATTATAGGTGTTCCAAATTTAGGCTATTCTAACAGCTGTGCAGTATTATCTCATTGTTGTTTTGCTTTGCATTTTCCTGTGACATATGATGTGGAGCATCTTATCATATACTTATTTGTTATCTGTATATATTATTTGGTCAGATAAAAATACCTATTAAATTTTTGGCAGAAAATTTCCAGATATGTTTATGCACATCCACTACATGACTGTATCTAAATTATGATTACTTGACTTTTTGTTTTAACAATAATAAATAAACATTTTTTGTATGTCAAAATTAAAATAATAACTTTCACCAGCACAAGATAGAGGCAGGGGTGGTAAGAATGCAATATATTTGCCCTCTCTGTTCAAATAGCAAGTCTTCTTTACTGCATTTTTTTTTTCACTAAACTCAGAGAAAAACTTAGACTCCTTCTCAACACAGGGTTCTCAGAAGAAAGTATTATTCAGTCATAGTTAGAATAGACTCTTTTTTATCTCTAACCTTGAGCCTGAGATGAAGGGATCAAGCAGTTCTACTATCAAACAAAGTAATAAGAAAGACATATCATAAGAAATTATTATAACTTTGGATCTGACACAGTGAATCCTGACATAGGTATTTGTGGTATTCTCATCCTATCCCCTCAAATAAAAAGTGACATATCACTAATGAGAGGTTTTATTTCTAGGCTGATAATCAGTTCACTTTAACTCAGTATGTGGTGGCTACTTATACATGAGTCTAATTAGGATGGGTCAAGTCTACACACTTGACTTTAAAACAGGTCTTTACAGATGTCATAAATATTCCTAAGAATCAAATAACTAATCTGGGAAGCAGGTCTAGCTTTTATGAGGATATGCACTGATTTTTCTCTTTCCTTCTCTTTTTGTGCCCAGAATCAGACATTGCTGACTTTGATGGCCGAAGTTCCCTTTTGTACAGGTTCAATCAAAAACTAATGAGCACTCTCAAAGATGTGATCTCTCTGAAGTTCAAGAGCATCCAAGGAGATGGAGTTCTGTTTCACGGAGAAGGTCAGCGTGGTGACCACATCACCCTGGAGCTCCAGAAGGGGAGGCTCGCCCTGCATCTCAACTTGGGTAAGGTCAGGCCTTGTCCTTCTCAGGTTGGGCTACTGAGAGCTCCTTTTCTTAGTGGGTCACAGTTCCTTATCCTGCTAGGTGGAAGTCCCTGGAGCACAATCCAAGTGATATATTTCTCTGATCCAGATTAGAGAAGAAAAATACCATATTTTTAAATGGTTAAACCATAGATAACATTCTTTGAAAAAAAAAAAAGATCATATTGGTAGGTAAAGAGAAATATAAGCAAATTGCTGGGGTTTTTTTTATTTGTTTACTTACTATCTATTTATATATCTACCTATTTATATGTCTTTTAGTAGCAAAATTTAAAGTAATTGAGCAAGTTTAAACATGCACACATTCACACATATTATAATGAAGCATGCTCACAATCTATTCTGTCTGGTACATTTATGAACGTTAAGTTCCAGGAGAAAAGATGGAGAAGAGACATGAAACATTTTACACATTTTAGTTTTCTTAGATTCCCCCTAGAGGGAGAAGGTGTCTTATTTGTATGAAGAAAATCTAAATTTCTAGGCATTTCTGTGTCTTGTTAAGTGAGATATTGTTTACTTTAGGTATCCTGGTTGTGCCAGGGTGAACTCTAGACTTGCCAGCTAATTTGGCTCAGAATGCCAACCTGTCTTCTGCACATTTAGGATATGGATCTCTTGGTATGGATTGGCACTGTTATGGCTGCCTCACCCCAGGAAGGTGTGTATTTCATGGTAATCAACTTCCTATCCCAAAGAAAGACAGAGAGGGACTCAGCCTCCTTTATGTAATCAAAAATACTTTGGAAGGAAAGATGTGCCACTTTCAGAAGGCAGAGAGCAGAGCTCCAAAAGATGCAAAGGTGAACCAAAAAAGAAACCAGAAAAAGAGCCAAGCAGAGGAAAATGGAAGTGGACATTTTGTATGAGAATGACTCCCTTCCTTTCAATTTGATATTAGTATTAAGGAAAAGCATGGAGATTATACTTGTGAGAAAAAAAAATTATCACTAAGTATTTACTATCAGAGAGTAAAGAAAGAAAATCATAGCAGACTTTAGTATGTAAGTTCAAGTTGCATGGCAGACTGGAAAAAAATTACAGATAAATATATTTTAGCAATTAGCAGGAAATTCATAAGAATGAGGATGAGTTTGGACTTACCCCAAAAGCCAAATAATGTAGGTCTTTATTTTGAGGAATTTCTGAGTACCTTCTTAGAGTCCATGGCAAATATTGGCAGGGGCAGCAGGGAGAATGACTGGGATCCCAAATTCCACTCATAAAATTGACATTTAATGCATTAGATTGAATTCACACCAATACATCTTTAGAAGCAGAGTCTCACCCAGAAGAGAACAGTAAGAGGATCTGCAGGTAACCTAATTGATTGTATTAACATACTTAAACAACTATCAGCGAACTATCTGAAGTGTAGACATACAGATATTCAGCAGAAATGGTTTGTTAACTGGCCTTCAGTTTTCAGGAAAAGAGTATGGGTGAATGGAGTGGAGCTCCTCAATTACTCATGGCTCAATGAGCATTATAGGTTGTAGGTGAAGTTACTGTTACTTGCCAATAGTATAGCAAGTGTCTTCTACTTGTGACATTGCATCTGTCAATTACTGACATTTAGATTCCCAGCTCATACATGTCATTCCTTCTCTAAAGATCTGCTCTAATATGCATAATCCAATACTGTAAACCAGCTTCATAAGTAGAGCATGATGGAAAGGAAGAGGCATGGTCATACAATAAATCTCATTGTAATTGTAGACATGTGCTAGCTATGCATTATGGAGAAAGTTGCATAAGCTACAAGTCTTTGTCTACTTATTTCTAATTTGAGCTAATAATAACTATCTTGCAGAGCATGGACATAAAACCAAAAAGAATGATAAATGAATAATTTATATCAGTAAATAAATACGGAGATGTATCAAAAATAGAAGCTCTTAATATTACTCATTTATTCAACAAATATCTGAATGTTCCACACCCTGTGCTATGCTAGTCTTCCTAAAAAGAAATGAGTGTGTTAAGATGAATAGGACCTGCTTCTTGCAATGATACACAAAGGAAGTCTTTTTTCCCCTCAGATTCCATCTCTGTCCTATATTTCTAACCACAGTGGTGACAAAGTAAAACCTCATTTAGTGAATGATTCAGTAGTAAGAATGTGTCTGTATTCTTTATAGTTTGGGAATTTCTTCATTTTTTTATCTGCTTATGGATTTCCCTTATTTCTATCAGTTCACTATAGTCAAGTGTTTCATGTACTTACCTGTTTTAAGCAGTCATCTAGGATAGTTATTAAGTAGCACAGATGTCTATGCTCCTTCTCTAGGGAGATACTGCCATATGTCAGTACTTTAGCCCTTCATACCTCAATTTTAACCAGTGAACCTTTGGAAGCATTAACTTAAGGGAAGATCACTTTGATTTTCCCATAATGGAAACTGTATTGTAGGTTCCATGAGGGCAAGACAAACTGTATTCATTGTTGTAGCTCCAGGACCTAGGAGAACACCTGCCTAATGTAGGTACCTGAAGTGAATTGAATACATTGGAAAAAGGGATCTCCATCTCAAAAGTCAGAGTCTGACACAGATACACATTGTTCCTATTGGGATGAATCACCCCCAAGCCTGTGCTCCTGGCTCCCTTGTTAGCCATTCTTCTATTATGGTGCAGGATATTTATAGAATACTCACAATATGCTACAATCCTATCCAATACTTAAAGAAACCCTGTTAAGTAAGTAAACATTAACTCCAAATTACCCATGTGGAATATTAGACTCAAAGATGATAAATCACTTGTTCAATTTGCAGCTAGCTATTAGGTATAACCACTATTAAAATTGAGTGATATCTAATTTGCCTTTTTTACTATTATTTTCAGATTATAAAATGCGTGTCAGCTTTAGAAAAAAACTTAGAGGGAGGGAAACACTAATAAAGAAAGAAGAAAAAAAAATCTATAACCCAGTCATCTCTCCTATTAAAATTTTGGTGTATTTTAAAGTGTGTTTCTGAGTTATTTATATAAAACTTGTACATACCATGTAGCATTCATGTTCTTCCCATGTTATCATACAGCCTCCAAAGTGGAAAAAGTTGATACCATTCATGATCATGTTTTTTTTGTTTTTTTTTTTGTTGTTGTTGTTTTTGTTGTTGTTTTTAAGAAATGAATCAAGAATGAAAGGAAAAAAAGAAAGAGAGAAAAAGAAAGAGAGAAAGAGTGAGAGAGAAAGGAAGAGGAGGAAGAGAGGATAAAGAGAGAGGAAGAAAGAATCCAAGTTAATAGCTAAAGAGTAGTGCTGGGCCAATGAATATTTTTGGGGAAGGAAAATATTTTTTCTTTCCAAGCTCACATGGGCACTCCAGCAGTTTCCTTTACTGACAGTTCTCCATTGCATGTTTCTTATCTGATCTCTTACTTTACAAATCAGAATTGAGTAAGAAGAAAGGGATTCAGTACGATGGTCAGCAGCTGAGAATGGTCCTTGAAGACATAAAGGATGTAGTTCTTTTCAGATGAGTCTCTTTCTTTGCTGACTGTTTGATTCAAGTTACCTAGTTACCTCTACCATGGCTTTCTGGACAGGTAGTTCTACGATGAAATTGAACTAGGTGGTTCCCCCTTGATCACTTTCTTAGAATAAAAAATGATTTTTTCTGTAACTAGTGAGAGATTCCTTTTCTCAATCAATTAGAAGATTTTAGAGATTCCACTTCACACTTTTTACACATATCATTCAGATCACTTGTGACAGTTTGCCCTCTGTAGAATTACAGCAATGCAAACCCTTACATGCAGATGGGAGAATTAAAGAGCAGAGGTATTATGTGACTGAGAAACTGTTGTAAGAGCTAACTAAACAAGACAGTAGTATATACAAGTCACTCACCCTTACAAGAGTTCAGTGACTTTGAACTGAGCCAGAATGTTTGTGCAATCTGTAGTAGTACAGCTGTAGTAAAGTGAGAATACCTGGAATGGCATAAACATGTGCATGACAGTGTCCTTGGATGGCCAAGCATAGGGTTCACAGGCAAAAGGGCTTGATTGCATGATCAATTCATTGAGGCATCTCGAGATACTGGTGAAAGGTTTGCGCATTCTTCAATGAGTAAAATAGACATTTACCTTAGCTCTTTTCAGATTCGGACACTTTAATAAGCAGACTGACACATATTTATAGAAAGCTAGCTTATTATGTATCTGAACTTGTATTAAATACTATAAAAGATTTTTTTAAAGTTTCTGCTTTTTTAAAGTCTACACTTAAACTCTGTTCTAGACTATATATATATGTGTATATATATATATATATATGTGTGCATATATATGCATATATATTTATATATGGTTCCTCTGGCTTTCAGCACTCAGTTCACGTCCATTTTGAGCCCAAACTTGAATTACATGCAATCCTAAAAACTATATCCAAACAATTTTATAGATGAGGAAACGAATGGTCAGTGATGCCAAGTCAGTTGTCCAAGGTCATATATTCACATAACTGTGGACCTGGGAAACCTTTTTAATCCAACCTCAATGTCAAGACATTAATAATTAAAATGTTATAAACCTCCATGAAATAATTACATATTAAATGTCAGGAGTACATATGCATGTATTAAATTGTTAGAATAGAGAGATCAGGGTGGGAGACAGGAGTCCAGACAAGTTTTATGAATTCACCCCAAATTATCTAGAGATTTTATTATGAAAAGGAGAGGAATACACACATTTCAGACAGTGTCACTGAGAGAAAATCCAACATATTTTTTATAAATTTTCTCATTCATATAAGAAGTCATTGAACAAATACATTAAGTCAGTCACAGAGCTAGGCACTAGGAGTTAAAAGTTGGATTTAGCAGTCCCTATTTTCAAGCAGCTCCTCAGCAAGGTAAAATAATTATTTTTATTTACTTTATAGCTTTGTAATATTAATTAAAAATATAATTATGTATCATTAAAACCAAATACCATAAATGTATT